TTCCATAACTTAGGCGCCACCGCTGAGAAAGCCCTCCTCCGAGTAGCCACCCTCCTAATTTCTCTCACGGAGGGCTCCCGGAGAAGGGCCTCTCCCGCTGATCTCAGGGGGTGACTGGGCATATATGGATGTAAGCGCTCCTTCAGGTAACCAGGACCCAAGCCGTTTAGGGCTTTATAGGTCATCACCAACACCTTGAATTGGGCCTGGACTTCAATGGGGAGCCAGTGAAGCTGACGGAGAACTGGAGTCATGTGAACATAACGTCCAGTCCCCGTCAGCAGCCTGGCAGCTCTATTCTGAACCAATTGAAGTATCCGGACCGTCTTCAAGGGTAGCCCCACGTAGAACGCGTTACAAAAGTCAAGATGGGAAGTCACCAGCGCATGAGTCACTGTTGCAAGGCAGTCATACTCCAGGTAGGGACGCAGCTGATGAATCAGCCGAAGCTGGAGGAAAGCGCTTCTCGCCGCTGTTGTCACCTGAGCTTCGAGTGAAAGCTCCGGGTCGAGGAGCATTCCCAAGCTGCGGACCTTGGCCCTAGGAGGGAGTGCAACCCCGTTCAGGACAAGGTTCAATTCACCTTCTCCGAAGCCCGAACCGCCAACCAACAGGACCTCCGTCTTGTCTGGATTGAGCTTCAGTTTATTGGCCCTCATCCAGCCCATTACCTCGGCCAGGCACCGGTTCAGCACAGCCACTGCCTCACCTGGATTGGTGGAAAATGAGAGGTAGAGCTGGGTATCATCAGCGTACTGATGGTTCCGCAGCCCACACCTCCTGATGACCTCTCCCAGCGGTTTCATATAGATGTTAAACAGCAAAGGGGACAAAATGGAGCCCTGTGGTACCCCATGGCATAGCTGCCATGGTGCAGAGCCATAGTCCCCCAGCACCACCTTCTGGAATCGGCCGTTGAGATAGGAGCGGAACCACCGCAAGGCGGTGCCTCTGACCCCCAATCCCGCAAGCCTATCCAGAAGGATACCATGGTCGATGGTATCGAAAGCCGCTGAGAGGTCCAGGAGAACCAACAGGGACGCACTCCCCCTGTCCTCCCAGCACAGGTCATCGTACAGGGCGACCAAGGCAGATTCAGTACCGTACCCGGGTCTGAAGCCGGACTGAAATGGGTCCAGATAATCAGTTTCATCCAAGAGTGCTTGGAGTTGTCCCGCCACCACCCGCTCCAACACCTTGCCCAGAAACGGGATGTTGGCCACTGGTCTATAATTAGTGACCATCCCTGGATCCAGTGACGCCTTCTTCAGGACCGGTCAGACTACCGCCTCCTTTAAAGGGGCAGGCACCCGACCCTCCTTCAGAGAAGTGTTAACCACTTCCAAGATCCAGGTTCCAATCCCGTGCTTGGAATCCTTTATTAACCAAGACGGGCAAGGGTCCAAAAGGCAAGTGGTAGGACGTACTCGTCCAAGCACCTTCTCCACATCATCGGGCCGCAATAACTGAAATTCATCCAATAATTCTGGACCAGACGGTAGCGTTGGTGTCTCCCTTAAAACCTCTGAATCAATAGTGGAATCCAGCTCGCGACGAATCTGAGCAATTTTCTCCCTGAAATGCCCGGCAAAGTCGTCACAGCGGGCCTTTGAGGGTGGAATCAGCTCTTCTTTCAGACCTGGACGAACCAGGCCTTGCACCACTCGAAAGTCACTACATAGTATTGACTTCTTGATGCTAATTGAGCTGTCCTCAAACTGTAATATGTAATAGCCTTTTTACAGTATTGCTGGAAAAGAAGATTAAAAGTAATAGTGAAAAGATGAGATGAAGTTTGAGTAACACTGTGGTAGTAGGTTATAGGGCCCTGCAAGATAAGAAATCCATGAGACGTCTTGCTAAGATTCAGAATCTTCAGTCACTAATATGCATCTGGAAGAATGCTGGGCTTCTAGATTTTATAACTAGGTTTTATAAAGCAAACATTTGAGTACATGAAACCTTGATGAGATATTTATGTATCTCCTGAAATGCGCTCTCATCTAAACTATACTGTTTAGTGTCACAAGTCTTCATTTTTTTCTTTTGCATTGATTTCAGTGGAATATAGGCCTAGATACAAAAATCTATGGGCAGTATGGCTAGATTCCTATGAGCATTACTTAAATGAGCAATATTAGTCCATCAGAGTAAACACTGTTATGTTGTTGCTGGAAGACATGTTGGTAGCATTGTATTCCAAATGATTAGATGTAAATAACATCAAAATACTAGCTCAAGAATAGTAATATGGCTTGAAATTCTGTACAGATGGAAACTGAGATGCAAAATGGACTATGATGCAGGTAAAGCAGAATTTTATAGTAAAGAGTAGTTTTAAGTACCTTCAAATTAACTGTAAATTAATCCTTACAACAATATTCACTTCGGTATTTGCTGCTCTTCCATAAATAATTATGCAGCAGGAGGAGGAACTGAAAAGGGTCAAGCTGTTTCCTCAAAGTTCAACACATGCAGGGAATCTCTTCAACTATTATGGGCAGACGTGATGTAGTAGAAATGGCAGCTTTCCATTAGATCAATTCCAGGGGGAACAATCTTATTGTATCCAAGAAAGGAGACTTCTGCAGGACTATCCTGCATTTGAAGTATTTCTGGCATACCTGAAGTTCAGAGTGAAAACCCTCTAAACAATATAAGAGACCATCAAAGGAACTTTTTAGCACCCATACCTCCGTATCTTCATGACCCTATTCCTTCACCTCTTTTTATTACCAAAGTCACCTCTGTCACCATTAGTTTTGCCTTGACTCCCAAAGTTTGCTCCAGGTTGTTGTTTTAGTAGTTGTCTTTACAGCTTGGGGTTAATGCAAAAGCTTGGAGGGCATATGGACTATGTGAAGCTTTAGCCAGCTTATTCTATGATGGTTGAATAATGCACTGTTATTAATGTGCCTCTTTATCCCTTTGAATTGGGATTTGCTGTCACTATGGTACAGAGAAAGAAATGGAGTGCTCCTGACCTTGTTTCCACGATAGAAGGGAAATTCTAACCATGAGAGTATTCCTTCATGGCCTGTCTAGTCCTACGAAAATAAGTCCTATGGAATTGTGAATAGCCTGCAAGGAGTTCATGTTTTGGATTCACTGAAGGTTTACTTAATGTTTACTTAGAAACCCATGAATACAAAGCAGGGTGATCAGGAGACCTGACTGTGCCTAGGAGACATCAGTATAAGGTCATCTAAATGTGGGCAAATGTGTGTGGCCTGATGCAGGAGACGGACAACAAGAAGCATACACATCGGCAATGGGGGGACAAGCTTGTATTTCCTCCTCGGGGAGACAGCACCATACATTCAGATATATTGCCTGTTGGGGCAACATGTTACAAAGGAGGTTCAATGCAACAGCCAACTTCCTAAGCTGCAGAAAGCAAAATCACAAAGATTGGAGTACATCCAGTTATCTTGAAGGACCCAATTCTCTTCCTTAAGTGTACCTGTTTTAATCACTACAAGATCACTAGTTCTCAAGCTTCACTGGGCACCAGTCTCCATCAGTGTGTGTACCAAATGCCCTCAGTTCTCCATGGCTTAACAGCAGACTATGGATTTCTTCCAATTCATGTAATAGCCAGCATGTTACACAAGACCAGCACAAGCCAGGCAGTGGTGTTTCTAATGACTTCAAATTCCAGCCCTTATGGCTGTTTCTCTTAAGATCTTTCAGAAAGTAACCTAGTAGTCTGTCATGTCACCTACCACAGGGATCTATCTTGCATCCAGACCTTGGATTATATCTGGCTGTGGCTATTGCTCAGGTTTTTGTCCTCGGGGTACTCCAGCCAGGTAATCATGGAAACAGAAACATAGCAAGTCAGAAGGGGCCTCTCAGGCCATGTAGTCTGACCCCCCCCAGCTCCAGCCAACTCTGTTCATGTAATACCCAACATGTGGTTGTTCAGTCTTTCCTTGAACACCCACACTGATGGGACCATCACCATCTAAGGATCCTAACTGTCAGGAAGTACTTCCTGACATCCAGTCCGAAATCCTTTTCCTTGAGCTTGTCCCCATTGGACCGTGGCCTTGCCTCCATTGCAGGGGAGAACAGTTTGTGACCTTCTACCATGTGACACCCTTCACACACATATATCACTGTAAGAGCCTCTCTGGAGTTTCCTCCAGGCTGGAAAGACCCAGCTCCCTCAGTCTCATCTCAAATGGCATCCCACCCCACAAAAAAAATCTGGCCACCATCCTTGTGACTGTATATCACTGTAACATTTTGTAACATCCTTTCTGATACCAGCCTTACATTGTTCTGTTTGTACTTGCATTGTCCTCCGTGAATATACTCATTCATCCCTCATCACCCCAAACTGTACGTGACCCACACTTACGAAAACTGTGTAATAAACCTGGGAAGGTTGTAGCCAGTTTGGTATACTGGCTAGCCTGAAGTGCTGTGTT